GGTGGTGCGGGCTGGTGGAAGTTACTGACAGGAGGAAAAAGTTGAGGGAATGCAGCGCGCAAACAGCCTGGCTTTGGTGAAACGCTTAACTCTGCGTCGTCCCGGCTGCGTTCTCTAACGAGTTTTCGTGTAAGTACAGTTATAGAGAGGAGCAGAGAACCGTTAACTGTGTTGTAAGCGAGGAGGGGAATGCATCTTTGACTCAAAACGATCTGTTGGCAGAGCAGGGGGGCTGTTGGAGAAGGCAGCACCTGCAGACAAAGGCTCCTGCACCAACAGCAGGCAGGCGATCGCTGCTGGAACCTGTAATGCTAAAACTTTGTGCCTGGTACATGCATCTGTGTGCTCGAGTCTTCCGTGGAGCTTTACCTGTCTCTTTCTCGGCTTGTTGGTGCTTTGAGGTAAAGCCTGTGGTGGGATGTGTTTCGTAAGTGAATCAGGCCAAGGATTTGGTCAACTTTGTTGTGCTTTATCGTTTTCTACTCTTACTCTGCGATTTCCTGTAAACCTTGCCACAGATTTTCAGCTGTGTTCTCTTGGACCTGCCCTGAGGGTGGTAGGCTCTTTGTCTTTACTTGATATTTCTCCTTGAATATTTGTCGTGATATTTCTTTGTCCCTGGCTGGTTTGTGGTGGGAATAACTTTCTGCTCTCCGTTTTTCCTTAGAAAACATAAAGGAAGTGAAGGAGCCGAGGCATCGCAAAGACAACAGGCGCCCGGACCTGGAGATTTACAAGCCTGGCCTCTCCCGGCTGAGGAGCAAACTTGCGCCACCAAAGCAAGAGGCCTTGGAGAAGGAGAGGAGCAGAGCTGAGGAGGGCAAGGAGGAGACTGCCAGTGACAAGGGCTCTTTGGGAGGAGAGGCTCCACTCGTGGAGGATTTCGGGAAAGGTGATGGCCCCAAGCAGAATGGTCCTTCGCAGGAAAACGAAGAGATGGAGACTAAAGGTGGTCTTCAGAGCCAGGAGAACTTGTCCAAGCAGCCTGCTCCGGATGAGTGCGGTCCCAAGACCACCAGGAGAACCAAGAAGCCAGACCAGCAGATCTACCAGCCTGGGAAACGCCTGCATTCCGCTGCTAAAGAACCATCCCTGCGGTCAGCTACTGAGGAAGTCACCAGTAAGATGGAGCAGCTGAAAGTCGAGAGAGATGATGAAACCGAGAAAGGTACCAGAAAAGACAACATGAAAACCAAATCAAGCAAGGAGGATAGAGGGGGGGGCCAGGGAGGGGAAGGAGTCAAAACCTCAAGGGGAGAAAAAGGAAGACGAATAGAACGAAGCGACAGGATAAGGAGATCGAGCAACGAGGTGGCGCAGGGGAAGCTGGGCCCTACCAAGCGGTACTCCCACTCCGACAAGCGGCGGAGCCGGTACCGCACGTGCAGCACGAGCTCAGCCGGCAGCAACAACAGCATAGACGGACCCCCGCTGGGGGACGGGGTGGAGAGGCGGCAGGAGCGTGCCAGAGAAAGAATACGTCCTAGGAAGCAGCTCTCTGCGTCCTCCACTGACTCCTTGGAGGATGACAGAGTCGAGGAGGCAGAAGCGTATGTCTCCAGCAGGAACTCGGACAAGAAAAAGCGTTCAGAGCAGAGCCGAGCTTCTAGGAGTGAGAGTGACTGGAGCAGCAACGGCAGGGAAGCCAAGGGACCTTTTCGAGTCACGTTTGACAGCAAGACTATGAGCAGGGATATCAGTCTGGCAGATCCAGATAAAAAAAAGCCCCTGAAGGCGTTTGTTAGCTGCAATGACTCAGAGGCTTCGGAGGCGAGGAGCCAGAGCAGAGAGCCCCAAGGGAGGGGCCGTGGGATTCTGTTCCTGCCTGCCAACACGGACCTCTCTGCCAGCACCGCGGGCTCCCCCGAACCCAGTCACCCTGGGCCCAGGCTTCTGCTCGGCGGGGCTGGGAGTAAAGGCCCCCGAAGCAGGGGCCGAGGCGGGACTGCTCGCCGGCTGTGGGACCCAAATAACCCGGACCAAAAACCCGCCCTGAAGAGCCAGACGGCTCAGCTTCACTTTCTCGACACGGACGATGAAGTGAGCCCTACCTCCTGGGGGGAAGCCCGCCAGGCCCAGACATCCTACTATAAGTTCCAAAACTCTGACAACCCCTACTATTACCCTCGGGCCTCCGGTCAAGGCCCCCAGTATCCTTATGGTGGGTATTCCCTGCAGTATCCTATGGGTCCAAGCAATGGTGTGTACCCAGGAGCCTATTACCCTGGGTACCCTGGCCAGGCAGGGCAGTACCTGTGTGGCCCGCTCCCCCCAACTCCTCTGAGTCCCGAGATGGAGCAGCAGATGCGGACCATGCAGCAGCAGGAGCTCAGCAAGCTCCTCCGCGAGGCTGGAAACCAGGAGCAGCAGCTCAGCAATCTGCTTTCCAGAGACCGCATCAGCCCGGAGGGGCTGGAGAAGATGGCTCAGCTGAGGTTTGTGGCTGGGCTGTCGAGGGGGGTGTGACCAAGTCGTTTCCAGGGTGGGCCACCAGAAATGTTGTCTAGAGAATGGTGTCTGCTGGGGGATCGGGTGTACTGGAGATGCCGGTGTCTCGGAGACTGGGACATGGGGCAGTGGCTCGCTAGCTTTTGATAGGCTGGGCCTGTTTGTCCTGTGCCAGCAGTGTGTGGGTATTGGAAGGAAACTGTGAGTGAAGATGTCATTTTCCTGGTCTGGGAGCTAAGCCGTGGCTTCTTGTGGTTGTGGAATGCCTTGCCCGCATGGTGGGGCCGTGGAGGAGCAGGACAAGCACCTGCTGTGGCTCTTGGATGCTTCTCACACTTGCTGGAGCTGGTCTCCCTCGGTTCCAGCGCTCTTGTGTGCTTTCAGTATTTGCTGGCGGAATTCTGCTTTCTTACCTGTCCTTGGTTATCTGCTGTCTGACTTGCCTGGTGGGCTTCAGGGGCAGCGACTGTCAGCTTGTGCTTGCGAAGCATTGCACGGGTTCCTGACGTTGTGTAACGCTGACAGCACCTTTCAAGCGCCGGGTAGTTTTGCTTTCGACACCACTCATGCTGTGACATATGGACATCGAGTGGGAGCAGCCTGGTGATGCCAGCTAGCGAGAGGGAGGTGACACTGGTACTCTGGAGGGTAGCTAACGTGGCTGAGCAAGTTTCTACTGGGGATCTTTCACATTTACTTGCGATCTCCATGTCTCCAGGGCTTCTCTGGAGGCTTATTTTCAGAGCTGACTGGTGGCAACTCCAGCAGGCGAGGTCATTTCAGGGCTTGTTCTGTGTTTTGGGGACCGTAGGGTGCGATGTGTCTGCACTTGAAGCAGCACTAGAGGTTTCAGGTCTTCCTCAAGGTGTCAGGGTCATCCAGGGCTGTTGTCTGGAGGATGAGGGGAGCCTGCACAGTGCTGCTGTGGCCTGTGTGAAGCCCGCCATGCCCTGGGAGTGTGGGCATGGTTGGCCCCGTCCTTGCCAGCAGCGTCCCTCCGTCTCGGTGTGTCTCCTGCCTGTGTCAGGGCGTGTTGGCGGTCTGTCTGTGGAGCTGACATCTGTCCTTCTGCAGAAACACCTAATTCTCTTGGTCAGGGGGTGTGTGTATGTGCAGGCTTTGGGGGACTGCATGGGGCAGGGCAGCAGAACCATGCTCTGTGCTTTGCACAGGAACCCACCAGCATCCTTCTCTCATTCTGTCAGGCTCTCCCACACGTTGCCATCTTGCTTTGCTCCGGGCTTTACCTTCTACGCTGTTGTACTGTTTTCTGCAGGGCTCAAAGCATTGTAAGGGATAAGGCTGCCAAGGCAGTAGCAGCTGAGGATTCCCTTTACCATAAACTTGCCCCACGTATTGCAGAGCTGTTTCTAGCCTGAAACTATTTTATTAAATGCAGGGGTGGAATTCTGCTTTGCCATCTGGGCAAGGCTGTGGGTAACTGGCGAGGGGAATGTGATTTCTGGGACTCCAAGGCTTTATCTTCTCTAGGTGTGATGTTCCCAGCTCTCGTTTATTTTTGGAGAAGCAGGGTCTCCGTTTTTGCTCTGTATTTTGGTTGGATGGAAACGAGGTGGAGATCGTTTTAATGGCAGGACCTCTCTTGCCCTCTGGTTCTTCGTGTGTTTGTTCCTGGCCTGTAGCAGCCAGACTTTGTGCTCAGGAGGAGCAGAGCCTGGCAGCGCATGCTTTCTCTGTGTTAGTACCAGGAGACACTTGTGCCTTGCTGTTCCCCGTGGCAGAGCTCCTTGCTCTTTGGCAGGCCCTGGCCCACTCTGCTGCAGGGAGATGGTCCTTTCAGATTTGCCTTCTTGGAGCAGGAAGGGTGTTTGGTTGCAACAGTTCCTGTCTCCTTTTGGGACGCGTGTGGAAGCATTGATTTGCCGGAGCGTGTGAGCTGGCTGAGCTGCTGACATCTCGTGCTTGCTGGATGAAAAGCAACCAGGTGTCTCCGCACACGTTTCCTGGCAGCTCAGGCTGGGGCTGGGCGGTTGCTGGTGTGTTGACGGCTGGTGGTGTTTCGCTGTAGGGTGGAGATGCTGCAGCTGTACGAACGGTGCATCCTGATGGATATCGAGTTCTCCGATACCCAGAACGTGGACCAGCTGCTGTGGAAGAACGCGTTTTACCAGGTGATTGAGAAATTCCGGCAGCTCCTCAAGGACCCTCAGGGGGAAAATGCCCAAGAAATTCGGAACAAACTGCTCCAGCTCCTAGATGAGGTAAGCAGAGAGAAACATCCCCAAACTCCACTAAACCTTTGGGTGGGATTGGCTGGTGTCTAGAATGGGATGGTGTAACTGGGCAGCTAGCCTTCTTGATCCTGTTGGTATCTCTGTGTGCCTTAGGCCATCCCTGTGCAAGGAGAATGCTCAGACAGGTTATGGTTTAGCGTGGCAGATGTAGGTCCAGGTGGACATTTGTTATAATTTAAACGAGGCTGGTTTTGGTGTCTTTTATGTTAATTAAAAATTGATTTAAGCTAAAATGAAATGAGTGCCCTGAAGTGGAAATAAACAGAAGCGTTCCTGGAGGTGTTTGTGCCATCTTTATCAAATTTGCGTAAAAGTTATTCCATTAAACTGTGCAGCTCAGTTTACTCTTTGTAGAAGGTAGGCTGGCAGATCCGAGAGGATGTGCTTTATAGAATTAGATTAGACTGGTGGGAAGGGACTGCTGGAGGGCTTTAGTCCAACCTCCTGCTCAAAAGCAGGACTCCTCAAACACTAGGTCAGGTCAGTCTTGATTTTGTCTAGTCTTGAAAACCGTTGAGGCTGGAGATCCCCCAACCTCCTTGTTGTTTTCTGAAGTGAAACAGCCCAAACCTGTCCCCCAAAAGCGGGACTTTCTTGCACGTGGCAGGGATGGTGTGGTGACTCTGTGCTCGTCATCAGAATGATTGTAACATCCAAGTATGTGTGTTTTGCAGGGCACGTCTTTTTTTGATGGCCTCCTCCAAAAGCTGCAGGTGTCGTACCAGTTCAAGCTAGAGGACTATATGGATGGGATGGCCATCCGCAGCAAGCCTCTGAGGAAAATGGTAGGTTGGCTTCCTCCTGGAGACTTCTCGTCCTGTTAGTCGTGTGCAACGTGCTGAACTCAGTGTGCTGCCCTTGCCAAGAGGTAGGCAGCTGTGCTCTGAACAGATGTCAGTATGTTTGCAGGGAATCTTTCTCAGCTGTTAGCTGGTTCAGCGAGTTCTCTCTGATGCATGAACGTTTCTTAGCTTCCTTTGCAAACCGCTTTTTTTGTACCAGCCCTGTGACCAGGGCTGATGAAGGGAAAGAAGCATCCAAAGGTACCTTGGCTTTGCCTTAGACATTGAACATCTTACTTCTTTCTGTGGAATACAGAATAATGAACGAGGAAAGGTAACAGCTGTGCTGCCTCCCTGACACTTGACAGTGTGTTGCCCTGAGCTGTGGGTGCAGGAGCGAGGGACAGCTGGGAAAGGGTATTTTATTCCAGCTCCCTTCCCAGAGAGATGTGTTTGTCTAACAGCTGTCCTCAGATTGGTCATGGACTGAACAACTCTCTTCTGGAGAGAGGCGGGATGTTGTTGTAAGGGAGGAGGTGTTTAGGGGATTGGCTTGCCCCTGCAAATGCTGCAGCGATGCCATGGAGCCTTGTCATTTCATTCTGCCGCCCTCTTGTAAGACCTTCGGTGTGTCGTGACCTCCCCTTAGCTCTCTGCAGTCCCTGTGTGCTCACTGGGTCTGTGGGTGAGCCAGGGTTCTGTGCGGGTGCCCCATGATGTGCTGAATGCTTCTTTCCAGGTGAAGTACGCGCTGATCAGTGCTCAGAGGTGTATGATTTGTCAAGGGGATATTTGCCGATACCGAGAGCAAGCAAACGACACCGCCAACTATGGAAAGGCACGCAGGTATTGTGCTCTTCCCTGAGCCCAGCTCTTCCTCTGTTTACAAGGGGTGTATCTCATTTCATGCTTAAACTTGCCTCTAGCAAAGGAATCTTTCCACTCCTCTTTATTGTGTTGCAGTCCTGTGAAGCTGAAAGTTGTAGCCTAGACTGTTTTGCTGTCCCAGCGAGCAAGCCAGCAGATCCAGTCATCCTCCAGCCATCTAGTTTGGAAACTGTCCTGTGCTGATCCTCCAGCAGGGAGGGTTTATGCTGTTGAGGCTGGCAGAATGGCTGTTGTATTTTCTGGTAGCTTTACAGCTAGGTGAGGTTCCCATATGTGTCCATATGTCCTGACTGCATCAGGAGTTACTGGCACTTGTTGCTTCCTGTCACTCTTGGTTTTTTTCTGGAGCAATTTGGGGGGGAGCAAGTGAGCCCAGCATGGGGGATGGAGACCTGAAATCTGTGGAGGTTTGGAGAACAGGGCAGGGAAAGCTGCCAATTTTGGGATCTGCAGACGTGGTGGAGTATGCTGATATCTCGGGGAGGCCAGGGGGAACATGGCAGGTTCGTGATGTCTCTGAACAGCATCGATGGATCCGTGTGGTGTGATACAAGCTAGAGAGTGGATAATACAATTGAGGGAAAATAGAGAGGAGAATGGAGGGATGAATGACTGCTGCTGAACGGATGCCTCTTCTCTCGGGTTGATTAAGTGTCTTGAAAAATACGGGGAACAGGCTAAGGAACATGGCGGGTTTGGTCCCAGCTCCCCGTGGAGCTAAAAAGGGGACTGGGAGAAAAAAGTTCCCTGAACAGCCTGTTCTCTGTGCCTGAGGCTGCACGGGGACAGTGCTTGCTGGGTCTGGCTAAATGCTCATCTTCAGGCTGAGCCAAGAACATTTCCCTCTGCAGCTGCATCTGCCCCTCTCTCTCGTCCTGTGCCCCAACTGCCTCTCCAGGCCCGGTGCGGGCTCGCTGCCTGCGCACGCTCTTGCAGGCAGAGGGCACTTGTGCAAAGGGCCTGTTCCCTGCAGGACTGCCAATGCTGCGCTGCGAGGGGAGTTCTGTGCCCTGAACAGTGAGGAAGGCAACCTGATGTCCTTTCAGTAAACCTTTCTCTCTGGTTCTTCTCTTCCTCAGCTGGTACCTGAAGGCTCAGCAAATTGCTCCCAAAAACGGCCGGCCGTACAACCAGCTGGCGCTTCTGGCCATCTACACGGTAAGATGCTCGTCATGCAAGGATGTAGCAAGGATAGGGAGAGCCTCTGGGCTGGCTGTGAGATTCCATCTGGAGGAGAAAGGCATTGTTTAAGGCAGTGGTCCCAGATGGGTGGGTTTTTTTGGTTTTTTTTTTTTTGAAAGAAAAAAGCTGATGGCAGGATGTGCTGTGTGGATTCCAGCTGCTGTGGCTTCGGGCGGCTTTGTTAGATACACGCTATTCCCTCAGGCTGTCGGCATTTTGGGGACTGTTCTGTGGGCTGTTGAGAGTGCAGATGCTTTAGAAGTGAGTTGAATTTAAAGTTTTGCATGAGATTCTTGCGCTCAAGGCCATGCTGTCGTGAGGATGGTGCTTCTTTTTGCCGTGTCTTCACTGAACCTGTGGGCACTGGTCTAAGGAACATCCACGTGTGACTTTCCTAGGTTTCAGTTTTGCTGGCTACTCCAGCCATGCAGGAAAACTTACTTCAAGGAAGACGTGACAGCAGATAACAGAAGCATCAGGTTGGGACAGGGACGCTGGTAGGGATCTGCCTGTTTGCAACAGTGAAAGATGCTGGTTTAAAGCAGAGCAGTTTGGAACTGCAGGGTGCAGAAGCACATTTCCTTCATGGCTGGGAATGACCTTTCTGACTCCTGATGTGGGGCTTGGAGCAGCAAAGTGTCTCTCCCTCTGGTGATTTGTAAGGCCAGCAGCATGTGGGGAAAACACTAAATGGCTGATTGTCTTGGTAGCATAAAGACTTGGGGGGTGTCTTCTCATGGTATTCCCTGTGGCCAGCCTGTGGGAGAAGAGGTGCTGAGAAGCTGCTCGAGTGTGAGGGGATTAGCACAGTGGCAGGCTGAAATGAGGGGGGCATCCTGCCCCGCCACTGGCAGGAGTTTGGCAAACCCTTCAGTCTTCCTGGGCCTCTGCTCTTTGTAAAACTCATGTGAAGTCTTTTCCATATCCATAGTAATGTTGAAAAGAGTTATTTCCTGAACTGTCAGGAATTCAGTATTTTATGCATTTGCCCTTTACCTTGATGTCTGCTGAGAGACTGGTTTGTGGGAGACTCTGAGTTGATGGCTTCTGCAGAAGCCTTGGGGCTAGATTAAGCGGGTCCGGGTGTCACCTGCGCTCCCTAACTCTGGCAAAGGGCTTGTGCTTTGTGCTGATGGTTGTAGGTAGCTGTGAACGTGGATGGAGAGTTTAAGGTTCTACGTGTCATAGTGTTGGCGTGTCTGTCTGTCCCAGGCAGTATTGAGGGAGAGGGAAGGTGGACTATGGGGGAGCTTGGCTCTGAAAGCCCCAGGATGAGTGGCACCTCTGAGTCTGGTTGTGTTTTTGCAGAGGAGAAAGCTGGATGCTGTCTACTATTACATGCGCAGCCTGGCTGCTAGCAACCCCATCCTCACAGCCAAGGAGAGCCTCATGAGTCTGTTTGAAGAGACAAAACGCAAGGTGAGTCGTGGGGCCGGGCTGTGGGATGTTGCAGCTGCCCGTGCTAACTGTCCTCTGCTGGAGAGCTCTGATCTGGAGAGGAGGGTGATGGTGGCTTTTGAACTTGGGAGTCACCACTTACCTACTTCTACAAAATTCCATGTTGGGAGTCAGATGAGAGGGGCAGCCTTCAGAATGATGGTCTTTCCTGCCTCTCCTCAGACTGCTTTTGGGGTTGTCTGGGCAGCTGAATCTCTTGTTTCTGGGTCACAAACGGTAAAACAGCCAAGCTCAGCAAGGGCTGGAGGTTGCTGTGGCTTGCAGCATGCGGCGTGATCATTGCCTAATCCCAGAGGCGCCGTGCACGTATGAGGGTGGGCAAGAGGGGCTGCAGGGCTGCAGACCCAGAGGGTCACCCCAAGTCGAAAATACAGCAGGTTGGCCGTCTCAAACAGTCCTGGGACTGGACACAGCTTTTCTTGTCCCGAGCCAGCTGGTGTTGAAAAACTCTGGCCTGCGCTGTCCTATGGTGTCAGAAACCACATTCTGGGCCTGTCGACGAGTTACTGTTGTTCTGAAGCAGGGGGAAAAGCTAATTTCTCCATGGAAATGAAATTACATGCTTTCTCTGAACTTTGATCCCTGGGTGATCCGAATCTGTCCTGTCTGCCCAGGCTGAGCAGATGGAGCAGAGGAAACATCAGGTGCTGGAACTGAGCCCCAGCTGCCGGGGGAAGGGCAAGAAGTCCACATTGCGACAAGTTGGAGATGATGCCACACGGCTGGAGATCTGGATCCATCCCTCCCACCCCCGCTCCTCCCAGGGCCACGAGTCCGGCAGGGATTCTGAGCAGGACAATGGTCTTGGGAACCTCAGCCCCAGCGACGTGAGTACTGCAGGAGGCGGCAGTTGGCTTTGGTGTCATGTGTTTGGAATGCAGTGGAATGACACTGGATCTGTTTTGCTTTCCTGTTGCTAAATTTTCCAGTGTTTTGGCTTCCCCTATGGGAGCTGTGCCTGGGTCAGGCTGAGGAGCTGGTGACCTCGTGCCTCTCATGTTTAAGGCATGTTGTTACCATCCATTTCTTGGCAGCGTGTGCTGGCGTGGCTGATACGGAATAGGAGGGGCACAAACAGAAGATGCTGTAAAATGCCTCTGCTGAGGGCTGTAACTTGGATGAGGTTGCCAGTGGAAAATGAGGTCAGATGCTGAAGACCAGGGTTAACAGTGACCCTGTAAGTTCTGAGGCTTGTTCTGGAAGTGGGTCACTTGTGCCAGTGATTGGAGGTTTACACTGGCAATGTGAAAACCGTGGTTTTAACTTCCACTGTAGGTGTTACATTTGCGTTACTTGTTCTGCCGAGAGGCCAGGCTGGTGCCTTTCTTTTGCAAGGATAACAAAATAATTGACTAACAGTATCTCTCGTCAGTCTGAGCTGTGTACCTTGCAAGAGGAGCCCGAGTGAACTCTGTTTGTCAGGCACAGGAATGCAGGCGAAGGCAGTGGTGGTTGGGAGCTCATCCTCTAGGAATCCTTGCACTGCTTTGGCACATGCGGCTCGCAAGAGAACTTGCCAGGGAGCTCTGGGCTGCCTGTCCTAAAATGGCTGTTGAGGATGTGAGTTTAGCAGAACTGGGAAGACCTTCCCCGCATACTGCGGGGCACAGCGCTTCTCAAATACGATTGCACTTTTGTAACTGGTTTGTGACTTCAGCTGGGTGGAACTGGGATGAAGTCTTGGAGCTTTGAAAGATAAGCTCTGGCACGTAGCTGCAGCATTTTTGAGAGGTTACTGCCCTTGGTTGTTTTCCCTCTCCTCAGCTTCTCTTCTGGAGACCTTTGCTTCTTCGGCATCATTGAAAGGAATGTGCCAAGCTTTAGCCTCTCCATAAATCATTGATGAAGATGCTTTGACATTAAATGCTGTGAGTGTTTTTGAGGCACTAGGGTTTCTTTTTTGCAGCGCTCCCGTGTGAGGTCGTGTAACAGCCAGCAAAGCGGGGGGGCAGCGATGTCTTGTGGCTTGTAGCGCAGCACTGTTTGCTAGAGCTTGCCCTTGGTCTGTTTGCTGGGGGCTGTTCTCTCTGAAGTGCAGGTCGCTGGCAATGCCTGTACAGATTGTGTGTCTGATTACTGCCATTAGTCTTGATTTCTTCATCTCTTTGAAATGTTGGCTCGGGGAAAGCACGAGGTTTCTGGTCACCGAGAAGCCACACAATCAGAAATACAATGGCAAAAGGGCAGGGGGAGCTGAGGGCCCAGGTTTGGGCGCTGCTGGTTTTGGCAGCCAGGATATCTGTACTCGGGCTGCCTGGGCCTGCTGCGATGCAGCACGCCACTTGTTTTGGCACGACTGCTTACGGGGCTGTGCCGTGGCCGTGTCGCCGAACTGATCTGGGTTGAAAATAACGCAGTGAAAAGGAAACCTTAAATCTGTGTAACTGCCAGAGCTCCTGAGCTGTGAAGCTGTGTGCTGGATAAAGACAACAGCTCTTCGGGAAGCTCTGGACTCCTTGCTTCTTGAAGCTATAGCCTCTTACCTTCTTCCTCGTGGCATTTCTAGGTGGTTTGCAGCTCTTTCTCTGGACAGCAGCGGAGCAGTCGGTGTGTTGCCACTGTGTGGCACTGTTTGGCCTCGGAAGGGCCCTGCCCGTGCCAGGGGCAGGCAGCAGCCCTCATCCTGGCAGCACCTCTGCCCCACATCCCCCAGCCGGGCGGAAGGGAACAGCTCTTCTCCCAGGGGATGTGTGCCAGTGCTTATGTGTCATTTTGGGGAAATGAGTCTAAATGTGTCATCGCCTCCTTGGTCCCTTCCTTGCCAGCTTTAGCCCTTGAAAAGGCTGAGGCAAGCCGTGGTCTTTTGTTTGTACTGGCAGCCGTGCTCTGCAGGTAGCTCCTCGGGCAGCGGTCTTTTATGGCGACTGTTCTGGGGCAGAGAAGGGAATTTTACAGGGTGGAACAGGAAAGTGTTCAGCTTCCAGAAGCAGATATAATACTGCAAGCATAGACCCTAACAGCTTTGGATGTGTGCTGGGGAGAAGTGTGGAAGAGAGGCTCCTTGCACCCTTCAGACAGAGGCTTTGCTTCAAACCCAGCCCAAGCCAAAGGTGACTGGTGTGTTTACTGTGGAGATGCTCGCTGTTTCACAGCTGACCAGAAATTGATTTGGGATGTTTCCTGTCCTCAGTGGTCGCTTTCTTCGTTGTGCAGGCAGCTAAGGTGCCAGTCCTGTGTCGTGGCTCGCTTGGCAGGGAGATGCTGAACGATTACGCTCCCAGGACCTGCTGATGTGCGCGCTGTCCCCATCAGCCAGCAGAGAGTTTGCTCGGTCCGTGAGTGCGCATCACTTCTCAGGGCTGACTTTATTTTTCCTTCTGCAGCCCTATACAAAGATATAAACACCATTACTTTATTTCAGGGTTAGGAGCCATCTGAATGGAGTTCGTAAAGCGTGATGGCAAGTCTGCAGAAGGCCAGCTCGCGCTGCAGCCATTGCTGTGATGAGGGAAGGTGGTGTGCAGAGCTGGCTGTTTGCCTTGGTGCTCTGTGTTTAGGTGGGGGCTTGGCATGGCTGCTTCTTTCACGGTTTGCTACATTGCCTTTTCTAGGAAGATGCAGAACTGGAAGAATGTACCATCTGTCCCACACCAAGGGGCGTACATCTCTGTTCGGCCACTTCCTCAGTAACTGGATTTGGCGCTGCTGGCGTGTGAAGGGCATGGGGTGGTTTCAGAGCAAGCTGAAGAAGTGTTTGGGTTGCAGCCTGGCTGTTTTGTGCTTAGGGGTTTGTCCGTTATGCCCACAGCCTTTTGGGGTTTCATTCTGTGAATGGCTGTGCTCTGTGGTCTCTTGTACGTTACATGTTTCTAGGTGTGCAGTGGCAGGAGAGTCCAGGCTGACCCAGGGCCCTACTTACTTGACAATATCCAGTCGCTTTGTGTGGGCTTCCAATAAGAAATGCAAAAAAGGAGGCTGGACCAACGAGTGGTTGTGTTGCTGGACAGGGCAAAGCGAGCTGGAGAGATGAGTCTCTGCCATTTCTTGTCTGCCACTGGTTTCATTTGCCGTGGGTCTGTATTGATCTTGAATCTGATAGCACTGTATGCAGCTTACTGTGCAGACTGTGAATTGGTAAAGTAAATGGGGCAAATGTGCTGTCAGTCTCTTGAGAAAGTGTTAATATTACACGGAGTTTGAGATTTTAATCACTCCTGTCAGGAAATGCTGAGTTAAGGTTCCCACAGTTGCTATGGCCTGCTGCCTGTGCTCTGCAGTAGATACTTCCTTGTGTTATCACGCAGCGTGCATGCACTAATAAAGATTACTCCATAGCAGCAGCTATGATTATAGGGAAGAGAAGTTTTTGCTTGGCAAGACAGTAACTGAATAGTACTTCTCTCCAGATGTCTGAATACTTCAGCATCATTAAAGAATTAAGTCTCCTGGCCTCTTTGTGAGAGGTCAATCTTGTAGAGCTATCAAAAGTTTGGGAGGGCCACCCAAAAAAGCTCTTAGGAGAGCTAAGACCAGAGTCAAGATCTGCTGTCTCAGCCCTGTCTGTTGACTGCAGGAACCTTCCCGTTTCCCCCCAGCCTGCTGGTTAGGGGCAGAGGTGTTGCATTTGCCTGGTGCTGGGTGCCCGTGAAACAACCACCCCTTTGCAGTAGCAGGGAAATTGTGGTGGAATCATTAGCTCTGAAGTTCAGAGCATGTTTTAACCTCCATTTCTTGACACAGGCTTTCTTCTCAGCAGCAGGGAGTATGGACAGTGCATCAAGGTTTCCACAAGTGAGCAGTAAATACCACTAGGAGGCCTGCTGAAAAAAAAGATGTCAACCCTCAATAGGTTGAATACAGAGGGCTTCTTACTTTCGTGTTTTTCCTTTGTTACCTACTGTACTTGTCTTGGAAGCTTATTATCCGTACCAGTGTCACGCTGGGCTGGTAGTGGGTGTGAGCAGCAGGAGGCAGAGCAGCGATGTCGGAGCTGTAGGAGCTGTAAGCAGTGTGTATCTTCGGGTGATTGTTTGTATTTTCTTTCAGATGAGTAGTGTTGTCTCTTTCGGACATCTTCCGTCTCCCAAGTCCTAGAAAATCAGATGAGCACCAAGCGTGGGGAAGTGGTCCTCTGCAGCTGGATGAGGGTGCTGTCTTCTCCAAGCAGCAGAGGGTGTGAGAGCTGTCCCGCTTTTTTCCCCTCTAGGTCAGGATTCGGCTAACTGGGAACTTATCCAGCGATGTCTGGTTGGGGCTATCTCCGCAACTTACTGTGATTAGTTTCTTTCCGAGATGAGACATCTCTAAGGTTTCTCACCTTCTGTCTTTCTCAGTTCTTCTTGCCTGCTTGCTTTTATTTCTGACTTTGCCTGCCTCACCTGTGCACCATGATGCTGCGTCCACTTGCCCTTCTGCAGCCCAGTTGCAGTCCAAGGCTGGAGAAGGCACTTTTGGGCATGCCTGTGCATCCAGGAGCGCTGGGGAGTCCTCGGGGCTGCCCAAGCCACTGCCTCAACAGAGGCCATGTGTCCTTAGTGAAAAGGGTCACTGTCCCAGTCAGCTCCTGCGTGTTTCACATCCGTTTTTCCTTGGTGGCGTTTGTTGTTTCTGCTTGTTCCTCTTGGGCAGCAGCCTCTCGGGTGACGGGGCTGTCTCCTTCTCCTGGCTGGTTTCAGTCAGTGCAATTTTTTTGTCTGGGGGAGCTGTCTTTTGGGCTCTGCATCTGGAGAAGATTGCTTCTAGGGAGAGATGGCATACATGTTAGCCTGGTAGCGGTTTTTGGTGGGGGTTTCTTGGCTGTTTTGCCCCATTGGCCTGTCCTTTGCTTGGACCAGTCACATGTGGGAGTGGTAGTGACTTGTGTTCAGAGTTGGGGTTACCCTGATGT